CTGCGAAGCCATGCGAAGCGTTTGCACCTGAAAAACACGTGCTCAGCATTTTCTCCTTCTCCACTGCAGGTCGGGCACTCCGGGGTCTCTTCAAGTTTGAATTTATGAAGATACTTCCGGAAGCATCCGTATCCTGAGATCATCTGCATCAGATAGTAGTTGACCACTCCGTGGGGACGGTTCAGCCAAATATCTAACTGTGGTATTAGACGGTGAGTCCACCTTCCTTTCGCTGAGGTATCCCACAACAATTGCCATCGGCTGGTGCTGTTCCGTCTCTCCTCTGCCCTGAGATCTTTTGGGCTCAATGTAGTGTGCCTTCTCCGCGGGTAAAGACACCTCCGCTCTTCAGTCAATACTTCGATGGGCAGCATTCCGGCGATCACACAAACTGCATCTTCCGACACTGTGTGGTACGCGCTAGCAACTCTCAGGGCGCTCTGCCGATAGACGGGAGCGATCTTACGCCGAGATTCCTGGAACTGGAGCGCATCGGCCCAGATGGGAATCCCATAAGTCAGCACTGACGTCACCACCGTAGAGAGCAGCGCTCTTCTTTTTTGTTTGGGACCTCCAATGTTTGGCATGAGGCGGGATAAGAGTGTTCGAACCCCTGAGGCCTTGGTTGCCACGTGTTCCACCTGCCGCGGAGACCTGGAGATCATCAGCATATACCAGGTGTTGAAAACCAGGTCGAAGCCGTTCACCAATATCGTTGATGAAAAGGATGAATAAGATCGCTCCAAGAACAGAACCCTGCGGCACACCGCGATTAAGGGGTTTAAAGGATGACGGCCCAGCGCTCCCACCCAGTGTCGCCTAAGAGCGACCACCGAGATAGGACGCAAACCACCTTATGGCCGGAACCGAGAAACCGTAGTCGAGGAGTTTCCGAAGCAACAGCACATGACACACTGAGTCAAAGGCCTTGCTAAAGTCGAAGAGAAGTAGCAAGGTCAGCTGACGATTGTCAATTCCAGAACGGATATCGTCCGTTAGTTTTAACAGCGCTATTTGGGTTTCGTTATGAGGGCGGAAGCCTGTCTGGAAGGGATCAAATATAGAGCGCTCAGCAAGAAATTCAACGATCTGCAGCGAAGCAAGTCTCTCCAAGACATTCGTAAAAAGCAGAGAAGTGCAATGAGCCTGAAGTAGTTAACGGTCGAGGGATTCTTAACCTTGAGAAGGACAAATTGAACAGTCTCAACAGACACGGCATCAGAGACGGCCACACAGCCACAACCACACATTTCGGAACGCCATCCGTACCTTTGGCCTCAGTGGAGAAGTGCCTGACGGCCCCAAGTACCTCATTAGCAGTCACTGAACGGAAAGCGAAGCCCGAAGCACTACCAGCAGAAACCCCCACGTCCGGCAAAGAACCGAGAAACTCGTCCACCGAGGGCTCCGAAGGGTTGAATGAAGCACTGACAAAGTGATCATTCAGAGCGTCTGGATCGAAGTCAGCTGAAGTATTGTCCGTATGGACCATACCAAGGTGCCTCAGTTATATGTGTGCACACGCTCTCGCCTCTAGCATCTCAGAGCTTACGCACACTACTCTCATGTCCACTAAACTTTGTGAATTACGAAGATTTTTATCCAGGTGATCGTATCGCCGTAAATAATTTTCATTTTTTTTTCGTGAAATTGGAGGCAATCCCAAAGTAAATCAAGAAGCGATGCAAACTTTTGTGAAAAAAAAAATTTTATTGCGTTTCCTTGAACTGCAACTTGCGGCGGAGATCCTTTTCGCTGAATAGGAGCGTGTTAGACACTGTTGGGTTCTCACTCGGCGAAAGAAACTACCGCATCGCTTGATTCATCATGAGTGGTTCAAGTGATGAATTATTAGGTGTACAAATAAGTTTTAGGACACTTTGCAAAAAATTTAAAATTCATTTTCGAAAAAAAGTAAACTACATTTATTCATCAAAATAATCTCTATCATTTTGAATGACCTTCAGCCATCTGTTAGGTAATTCACGGATGCCTTCCGCAAAGAAATTTTCATCTTGCGAGGCGAGGAAATTATCGACCGATTTTTCCATTTCTTCAAATGTTTTGAATCGCACATTAGTCAATTCGTTTTGCATCTTCCGAAACAAGTGAAAATCAGTTAGAGCTAAGTCTGGGGAATACGCCGGGTGTGGCACAACTTCCCATCCAAGAGCCATTAACGTACCTTTGACCGGTTTACCCACATGAGACCTGGCGTTGTCATGGAGCAATTTTACTGGACGTTTTCCTTTGCCAGTAAATAGACGTTTGTGTTCAATTTCTTGGTTCAATGTTATTAATTGTTGACGATAGCGATCGGCAGTAACTGTCTCGCCAGATTTCAAAAGTTCATAACGCAGTACGCCTTTCATATCCCACCATATACAGAGCATGATCTTCTTACAGTGAATATTGCGCTTCGGTGTCGATGTCGGCTCGCCGGGTTTAACCCAATGATAGGGGAGGGTGGGGCAAAACGGCCCCCCTTCAATTGTCAGTAACTTGTGAATGACATTGTGAAAATTCCCAGTTTCAACTTCATTTTGAAGATAATTTTTCATTCTTCAAAACGAGCTCTAACTCATCCCAATCGGATTATTGAATCGAAAAATATTGACGATTGAAGGGGGGCCGTTTTGCCCCATCCTCCCCTATTTGCGTTTTGGATTATCAAAATAAATCCACTTTTCATCGCCGATCACAATTTTCCACAAATAAGACTTTCTATGTTGCTTGTTGTCAAATTTCAGACATATGTCAAGCCGGCTATCTTTATTTTCTTGAGTCAAAAAGTATAGCACCCACTTTGTTCCTTTTCGAATCTTTCCCATTGCGTTTAAGCGGTAGGAAACGGTTTGTTGAGTTACTCCAAGCTGTTTTGCAAGTTGTTTTTCCGTCTGGCAAGAGTTTTCATCCAGCAACGCTTGCAGTTCCTGGTCAACCACCCTTACAGGGCCCCCGGTATGTTCACGGTCACTAACGTCGAAATCACCTTCTTTAAATCACTTATACCAATACTCATATGTAGTTTTAGATACAAAGTTGTCCCCAAGGACAGAACAAATCGATTGACATGCTTTCCTAACAGTTTTTCCTTGATGGAATTCATAGTGAATGCAGTGCCTAATAAATAGCTTATCGGTCTGCATGTTTTATTTACAGAATTTAAGGTTATGTTTATGACTCCTTTATGTTTTGATACTACATAATAAACCCCACCATATCATATGTAAGCGGTAACTTTGAATTACTTTCATGACAAGAATCGAAATGTCCTAAAACAATGAGAATGAGTTGGGTGATTGAAAGTCACCTTATAAGAATTCAATGAATCATGGAATTCCATTCAAATATATCGTGATATAAATTCCATTCGATACCAAGTGGCTAATTTATTAGCAAAAACATATTGACGATGTGACGAAAGCAGTTTCCCACATGTTCATTGGTGAAAGAACTAATTTTAGAGGAACAATTCATAGAACACAAAATCTGTTTTTTTTTAGATAGAAAATAATTTTTTACAACACTTTCCCCATGTTTGCCCGTTTCCGTCAACTCGTCGTTTAAATAATGAAATTGTTAGAAACAAATACCTCTGATCATAATTTGCAAAACATAAATTCAGATTCGGATTCAGCATCCTCAAATACATGAATTCCAATAATAAAATCTACTGGACCTAGCAGTGTATACAGAACAGCGCTAGCGAATATCGCTAGTGTATAGCGAATATCTATTGTATTTGTAATGTCCAAAATTTTGTACTAGGAATTTAAGACTAGAATAAATTTTATGTAAGATTATAATTATAAGTTATATTATAATTTCAGGCAATTAAGAACCAAATCCACAATTGTAAATTAAACAGAGTGCATTTCATCACCTGGACTCAATTAAAAATTCCAAAGACATTGGAATCGAGTTCAAAAGTGATGAAATGGCACACTCAGCATGCCCCAATTACCCAATACTAAGATTCCCACGCGAAGGAACGATTGAAAACCGATTAATTGAAACCCCAAAAACCGAATGAACTACTTCCCCATAAAAATCAAAAGAGTGGGAAAAGTCATACGACATTTTCCACCAATTAAAAATGGACTCGTTGGAGCCCATGTGACAAGTGACCCCAAAATTCATATAAAAATGTCAGAAACACCAAAATTAAGCAGTCTTGCAGCAGCGACGGAGCAGTAACAATTCTGGTGGAAATAGTTCATTTAATCGGTCCGGTTTTTCAATCCTTCCTTTGATTACACGGGATAGTACTGAATTAATAGTAAGTTACGAACAATTGAAATTATCCGGGATTAAAATTTCTTTAACCGAGAGTGGTAACTTTTCTTGCAAATAAGGAATTCGTTTATTGTAACGCGTTGTGGACAGTCTCAACCAAACTCTTAAAATCTTCAACTTCAACTGCCAAAAATTCATTAAAATATCAACGAGTAGAAGAAAGTGTTTCCGTGAAAGTATCCATAATAGCCTTTAGCGCGACTAATTGCTGGTGAGGAAATTACGGATTTACCCAGGGATCTACAAATACATCGAATAATTTATAAATAACAGACCGAATTGTGTGTAACAAAATTTGTAAACCCAAATTTGAATCCTTCAGATCATTCCAGGGATCGGAATTTTAGCTACCTAGATTTCTGTAAAATCACGCTCATGTTTTTGTAAACCGAGTAGTTATACAAAACATATTTAAATTCAAATTTGATTCCCACTACAACTCCAAATGTCTTGATTACATATTCGTCCCAACTCAAGCCCTATTCCTAAATCAAGCCCTTCTTCCCTTATATTTTAAAAAAAGGTAAGAGTATAAAACTTTGCGTCGTCCAATAATTATAAAATTCAATAATTTTAGCTTTGATTTTAATGTCACAATTAAAACATGTCCATTCGACGCTAAAATCGTTCTCTGGACATAACATATTCTGCTACTGTAATTTTGTTTATTGCGTGACTCACTTTACAAGTTTTTTTTTCAGAATTTGTTGGCATTGCGGGATCATAAAGCGCAAAGTAGGATAAACAAGCACTTGAAAGTATGCAAAGCAGCCAATAAATCGGTGATTGCCGATGCCATAAATTATGAAGATACTGCTGTCACCATGGCGGGTAACTATTTTCATTTTTACTTATGGTAGAAAAATAATAGACTAAGTATAAAAATATGCGATAATTCTACCCAGCCAACAATTTGGCAGTAAATTTCCGAATATTTATCGGTCTTGCCGAAGACTTTTAGATAGCATCAGTGAAAATTGTTCCTTGCACTGAGAGAAATTCCTGTTGTGCTGGTAACTATTTTGAAAGTGTCAAGGTCTGATTGTATTGAGCACAAGTCCACTTGTAACCTTTACAATCGCCTTCCGCAAATCTAATGAGTGAGATTCTCATAATGGGAATCTACTGAATATTTCTTGTTATCACTACAAAACATATTTAACGTATACTTTGAGAAGTGACATAACTCACAATTTGACCGTAACAACAATCCATACTAATTTTTTGGATTCGAATTAATTTTCGGTATCGAATAAATTTACCATTACATTCAAACCGTTACATAACCATTACACCCAAAAAAATAATCTCTTGATTCAAGTAGATATCTTACATCGATCAAAATTGGTCTTACTCGATTTGAGTATGAATCAGTCTGCGTTATGGCTCATTTTGAGTATAAAAAAAGATTGTTTCAAGGAAATTATTGCCAAGTAGAGCGTCGGATGCAATTACACTGCAAAAACTAATATCTGACAGTCAGTTAAACTTAAGATGTCAGTTGGTAAAAAAACAATTAAATCATCGGAAGTATTTGAATTTTTGACTAAGTGTCTGAAAATTTCACTGATGTTTGAAAATTTCAGTTACAATTCATGTCTGAAACCGAATCTGACACTTTTTTTGTCTGAAAAATTTCAGACATTTCATTCAGACATTTTTCGTGTATGAAATTCAGCCATTTACGAGGCATTCAGACATTTGACTGTTCAGTTATGTCACCCGAGTCAGATGGCAAAGTCCATTCAAACACAAAGTTGCAAGACATTTCATGTTTCTTACAAGCGAACTCATTTTCATGCAGTTATCAAATCATCGATTTTTTTTTTTTTGGAACTGAGGGGGCGGGGAGGGGGCGAAGGGGTTAGAGCCAAATAATAATATTAATTTTTTTTGATAAAATTCTTTTCTTTTGTGCGGCCGAGGTGGTGGGGGCGAAGGAGTTAGAGCCAAATAATATTAATATTATTTTTGATAATTTTTTTTTCTTTTTTGGAGCAGAGGGGCGGAGGGGGGAGGTTGGTGGAAGAGGTTAGAGCCAAATAATAATATTAATTTTTTTTTTCACACACCTGCACGGAAAGTTCGTACTTTGCTCCCACTTATCAAAGAGCAAAATACGAACTGTCCTTTACAGGCGTGTTAAACAATAGCATGTGCACCTCGGGCGGGAAAACATGACTTTCCGCCCTTGATGCACAATATACTATTTTTTTATCTTTTATTTTCATTATTGTTATGTATGACCTACTCGGCCTTTTACCTTTGGTTTACGGATATAACATAATGACAGTAATTTTTTTTTTCTTCTCGTATACCCTTTCGGGTCTTTACGATTTGTTCCCTTCCCACCCCCCAGCCCCCTGTACCGCATTCGCCGAAGAACAAGGGAAAACCTCATTTGAGGGAAAAATCTGCCCAGGTACAGTCGTCTCTTGTGAGACTCCCGCTCGACAATGAAACCGTGAGATTTAGAGTGTCACAAATTTTGGCCCCCAGCCGGGAATCGAACCCAGGTTTCCCGCAGCCAATCCCACACTGCAACCACACAGCCACTGCCGTCGGTACATAATGACAGTAATAAATTTATGGAGTATCTTGATAGTATTCGTCCGGTCAAATGACCAGGGCCTGCTCTAGTCAATCCTCTTCTCCTGGTTGCGACGGGCTGCCTCTGTCACAGCTTACCACCAGTCTTCTCTCCATGTCCCCAGCCAATTTTTCGAAGTGCCAGGCGTAATCGCTGAGTGCAAAAAGTGGTGGCCCTTTAAGAGCATCCAAAAGCTTATCTGTCAGAGGGTCGTTTCTAGCGCCTTTCTGCCACCACTCGATTGGCTCTGTCCATTTCTCATTAATGAGCAGAAGCGCCTGCCCACAGGGCCAAATGTGTTCGAAGGACTCCGGTTCCAACTGACAGACCTGTCGTCCCGGAAGCCCTTCTTACCTGCACGGCTGACATTGCCGCACCTTAATCTTGCCCACTGCTCCTTGGTCTTGCCGGCAGTGATGCCAGACGCGAGTCCCACAGGTCCTCCACTCCTCGCTCGAGTACCACTGCGCAGCCTTTAGGACGCCGAACGCCTGGCGCTCCGTTTAAATCATTTGAATTCGATCGACAACGACATGACTTTTTATTCCACTTGCTTCAGTGGACATTGGGAAGGAATAAGTGTTTGAAATAAAGTTAATAAATGTTAGACGATGTAATGATCGAATTTCTCGTGATCAATGGAGCAAGAGTTAAATGTCACAAGGGTCAAATTTCGCAACAGTCTAACGTCACAAGGGTTACAAGAGAATGATGAAATTTTACGGTGGTTGAATGTTGCAATGGTCAAACTCCACAAGAGTCAAACATCACAAGGGTCACAAGGGTCACAAAAGAATGGTCAAATTTCACGAGAGCCAAACGTCACGAAGGTCACAAAGGGGTAGTCAAATTTCACGTGAGTCAAACATACAAATAGATTTTGTTTGAAACCTCTCCCTATCCGCAACTGTTTCCATGATATAATGATGTAACATGTAACGAGATTTTCTCGTTACGGGTTGAAATCCCCGTAAACAGATATGTGAACTCTTAAAATTATTGAAGAGAGATAAGTAGTGACATCTAGAGGCGGCTGAGAAAAGCCGGGACTAGATGAGGCGAACCACAAACCAATGAAAGACCTAAGGCGTAGCGGTTATGGGTGAAACCGCGACCCCTGGAGGTCTGGAGGGCGTTACTAGACTATCGCCGTATTAGAATTCGCCCAGCATGTGCTAGGGGAAATGGGGCCGACGTACAGGCCGTCCAACTAGGCGAGTCTATAGGCTATGTCGGAGTAGGCTAGGGGCCAACGGCCAGGTGAAAGGACTGGTACCTCCGTGATCCCGTCGGGTTAATTGGTGGGGATAGGGTAACGGAAAGACCTATCGTCGCCGAGATATCCAGACTAGGAGGCAAGGCCCTAGTAAGATTCCGAGTTAGTCGAACGCGAGCGCTTGAACCGAGAGGTTGAAATAATCTCTCGGGGTGCTGGATGGTGGAATGGCTGAAGAAGCCAGGATAAGGAGTTTCGGACTCCACGTCGCCTCGGTGAATAACCGTTGGCGGCGAGCGTAGGGGGAAGCTCCTGCATCCCCCACTAGTAAAAAGGAGTTATTCCGGCACACGAAGTGACGACTTTGTTGTTTCCGGCGTTATCCGGCTCGGCGAAACAAATGCCGAGC